CGCCGGGCGGGCGGCCGGAAAAGTGCCGGCCAGGCGAGCCCGGGGCTCTGCGGCGCCCGGAGGGACCCCTCTTGCTCACCTCGGCGACGACCCCCGAGTCCGGCCTCTTCACGCCGAGGACGCCTGTCCGCGAGTCGCAAGCTCAGAGACTAGGGCGACAGCTCCGGGGGCGAAGGCGGACTACAGAGAGAACCGACGGAGGGCGGCGGGCTCGGGAGTGCGAGCGGGCGAGGGCGGGCGGTGGCGGGAGGGCGGGGAGCGACGTGCACGCCCCCGAGAGCCCGGCGGGCTCGAGCCGGAGCCAGTCGCGACCCCGCGCACGCGCGCGCACTCATAGTTCACGATTGCTCAGTTGCGGTTGCTCAGGAGCGCGTCCACGCCCTAAAACTCGCGTAACCAATCATAGAAGTCGCGTGGAGCATCACGGGAACTCCTGGGCTATAAAAGGCCGGGTTACTATTTTGTACTCCGCGAGTCACTCATCCTTTAATTAAGTAGGGTGGGGTTAGGTGCGCGTGCGCGCTGCCAATACTCCGCCCTAAACTGCCAACGCTTCGCGCAAAAGCGGTAGACCCGCCCTGCTTGGTCTTGCGCGTGCGCACTGGAGTCCTGTCCCCGGAAGACCACACGCCTGCGCGGTGGAGACTACAGTGACAGTGTCTCGGATGGCTCGCGGGCTAGTCATGGCGGAAGCTTGGTTTGGGCAGTCCTTGCAGGCTTTGCCCGCAACGGTGGTGGGCGCACTGGGAGCCCTGGGCAGCGAGTTCTTGCGGGAGTGGGAGGCGCAGGACATGCGGGTGACCCTCTTCAAGCTGCTACTGCTGTGGCTGGTGTTAAGTCTCCTGGGCATCCAGCTGGCGTGGGGGTTCTACGGGAACACGGTGACCGGGTTGTATCACCGCCCAGGTGAGGCTCCCTACGAACCTCTCTGTGGGCTGGCCTTCCTACCACTACCAGGCTGTACCCCAGAATACACTTGACTACCACCACCCCACCCCCGCCTTAGCAGGACGTTGTACCTTGCCACTATAACATTTTATGCCGGAATCCCCACCAGTCCATTGTAACTGTTCTTGCGAACCCTCACCAGACAATGCCAAGAGCCCGTGAGAACCCTATCACACTCTCTTCCAAACGATAGCAGTGGCCCTAACCTAACCTGAGCAGATGCCTGCTCAGATCCTCTCCCCCAGCCCGCTGCAGCTCTGGATGTGTTCCTGCCTCCAGGTCTGGGCGGCCAGAATGGATCCACACCTGATGGCTCCACGCATTTCCCTTCGTGGTGAGTAAATCTGTCCCTACCTCAACCTCATGCTTGGCAGACAGGTACTATCCTGTGTCGATTACAGAGAGGGAAATTCTCAGGGTACGTCGTGGCCTTTGCAGCACCTTCCGCGTCTGCGTGTAGAGCCTAGGCTTCAAGCTGGGGTCACAGCCCTGTCTGGAGAGTCTCTCATCAGCGTGCTGTTCAGCAGCCTTTGGCAGGGGGCAGAGTACTGTCATCATGTCAGAGATGCAGAGGCCGTCTGTTGGGAGCAAGCCCTTCAGGTGGCAAGGGTTGGCTTACTACCAAGCCATACCGCAAGTCCTAAGAGCCTCTCTTAGCATACTGACCTCATCAGTTACCTCCTCATCTGTAAAACAAGAACTCACCTGGGAGGCTGAGACAAGAGGATCACAAGTTTGAGCACAACCTGGGAAACTTAGTGAGTTAACAAGACACTGTCTCCAAAAATGGGGGGTGAGGGGGTGGGGATGTAACTTGGTGCAAAGGCCCTGAGTGCAATCCCCAGAACAAAAAGAACAAACAATTCACTAATCAAGGCATTCATTCAGCCAGTCTCTGAACTTTTACTACATGGCAGATGCCACACTAGGCCCAAAGAACAAGGACAATCTAGGCCCTGCTTACAATGGAAGCAAGAGATTTACAGAGAGGACAGCAGTGCAAGGGTAAGGGTCATCTGGAAGGCATCTCCCACGGTACCTAACCTGAGACCAAGGCCAGGAGATGGCATAGGGTACTGGGCAAGGAGAATGGATGCAACAGCGCCCACAGAAAAGGCCAAGGGTGGCACATCGGAAGAACAGATAAGGTTGTGATGGCGGAGTTTGAACATGAAGGCATGGAGTAGTCAGGGAACCACGGAGGGACTGACTCAGCAACCCTGTAGCCTGATCTAATTTGCCTCTGTAACTGCCTACTTAATGGCAGATAGATGAAGGGGTCCAAAAGTAAAGGCAAGAGGCCATTTAGGAAGACTGCCACTACCCAGCTTTCTGTCTTAGGCAGCTGGGAAAGGATGGCAGCAGGATAAGGTGGGGAACCAGGAACAGATACGCAGGGGGGAAACAGTGGGCCCACAGTGGGCTGTGGGAGACCAGCAAAGAGATTTAGGTTGTAGTGCCACCTTTCTGAGCCCAGCTCAGCCCCCAACAGGGCTTGGGGAGAGCTAGTCTCAGGAGCTATTCTGCTGCCTGTGAAATAACCTTTCTTCTCCATCACTTTCAGGGAAATGGCAGCAAATGAACCTCTCAAAACCCACAGAGAATAAGGGAATGCCGCAGCAGAAAGGTCTCCAGAGACATCACTGGGAGTGCTGGATCCTACGCTATGTCATTTTGTTTGTTTTGTTTGTTTTTTGAGACAGGGTCTTGGCGTGTAGTTCAGGCTGGCCTTGAACTCACTGTGTAGCCTAGGCTGACCTTAAACCCAAAATGATCCTCCTGCCTCAGCCTCCCAAGTGGTCTGATTGTAGGTGTGCACCAGCATGCCTGGCTCTTGCTGCTGCTCAGACCCTAAGAATGAGTGCCGGGCCCAGGATTGAGGTTCGAGAGTACCCCAGTGCTTGCAGGGCTGGGCCTCCATAGCCTTCAGCCTTGGCTCCAACAGGGCCAGGTACTGGGCAAATGAAGAGTTTGCCTTTACCCTAATCTAGGACTCTTAAGGAGAGAAGACATGTTTCTTCTCTCTCAGAGCTCAAAGCTCAGGAGAAGCCTTGTGTGGGGAAGGCCCGTAGTCCCTTTTCTGTCTTGACTTTTCCCTGTCCCCCTTCTTACATCCTGAGATATGACCACATAGAGCTCTGTCTCTCTGAGAAGCAGCCTGAGGTTGACCAGTTCTGGGATTTGTAAGGAAAATCTATTGTTGCCCAAACCCTGAATTTGGTTTTGCTTTGTTGGTAGGGAGCCAAGTAATCTGGCCTGGGCCAGGCCTTCTGTTTACGGTTATTTACCTGAATACGGAAATATAAGGCAAGGTGTCCTTGCTGGCATCATCCAGATGGAGGCACCAAACACTCACCTCCCCGACCCAAACAGAGCTCTCCAGGTCTGAGCCAGGCAAAGGAGGTTATCATTTCCCAACTGTCTTCGTATTTCTTTGTCCTCAGCAGAAAGCAAGGTGTCTGAAAGAGACAGAGCCCGCTGAGTCCCCAGGGCTCCCACCTCTACTGTTCAAGTACCCTTGGGGTCTCGGGTCTGCACCCTGCCCCCTCGAAGGGAGGCTCTAAGCAGTTAGGGCAGAGTGGCTCCGTCATGTCCCATCTTGCCATAGAACAGAGTCCTTATCCTGAAAGCCCACTAGCACTGTCTCAGTCCCTAGGAGCCCTCAATGTGGAAGATCTACAGGCAGGCAGCCCTAGCCCCTTTGCAGTGGGTAGGAGAGATTTCAGAGCAGTGGCTGGCAAAAGCCCCCACAGAAACACTGCTTCCTGAAAGCACTATGGCCCTAGATGTACCTCCTCCCCTAATGGCTGTCCTGCTGCCCACCTCTGCTGGGCCATCTGCTACCTCAGTGCCCCACTGCCGGCTTCTCCATTAGATGTCATATATCCACCTGGCACCCTCAGAGCCTTGGCAGACTCTGGCAGAGATATACCGGAAGCCCTCAGGCCCACCCACCAACACAACTATACAGGTTCTTGGGCTCGTATTTTATCCAGGCTCAACTGAAAATGTGGCTTATTAAACATAGAAGTGCATCGGTTGTGTGGTTATTTTAAAAGGATAAGTGTGTGTGCGAGGGCAGCTGGTGAGGGAATATCCCGAAGGCTACTGCCCTTCAGCAGCAAGAATGCTGTGGTTTGCAGAGGTGGGAAGAGGGTGCCCATTCCCTGGAGGAGTGGTGGTGGGGTGTGGGGTGTTCAACAGGGGCCATATCTCTGTTGGCTTGGGTTTTGGTTTGTTTTTTTTGGGAGGGGGGTATGTTTTTGAGACAGGGTCTCACTATGCAGTTCAGGCTGGACTTCAGCTCACTTTGTAACCCAGGCTGGTCTTGAACTCGAAAGGATCCTCCTGCCTCAGCCTCCTGAGTGCTGGGATTATAGGCATGCGCCACCACACCCAGGTCTTGGCTTGGGTTTTGATACTTTGTGATACTGGGATTGAACCTAGGGCCTTGCCCATGCTACCAAATACCTACCACTGAGCTATATCTACAGTTCCTTATTGGTTCTTACAGGCCTAGCCCACAAAGGGAACCTACTCCAACTCTGTCTTAATAGGCCAAGAGGTTGGTTGATATCTCAAGAACCCTGTAGACAAAGAATAATAAAGCTGGAGACCATACTAAGTAAGAAGGAAGGAACCTTGTTTAATTTTTTCAGGTAACGGTAAAGTCCAGTTATAGGCTCCAGGGGCAGAAGTCAGCCCATGTGGTGAGCATGCCATGATCTGCAGCTGGGCAGCAGGCTAGGCCAACGGCAAAGGAGAATGGGTCCACATCTGCTCAGCCGTCCCCGTTTACACACAGGAATAACTTGAGTCAGTGCTCTGGTGAGTCAGGAATATTCCTGCCTGGGGGAGAGGCCACGGTCTGCATTTGTGGAAAGCAAGGTAGAGGAGATGACTTCAGGCTACGCTGCCCTCCTTTGAAAGGTGAGAAACCACAATGAGGTAGCTTGGCCAGATGTTACCCACTCACAAAGGCGAGCATTCGCTCTATACCAGCACCTGGCAGAGTGTGGTCAGTGGAATCAGGGACCAGAACGGGGCATTGAGTGACCTGGTCTGTCGATCAGAAATGTGGTCCTAAAGTTAGAGGGGCTTGTGTTGCGGGGAGGCCGTGCTATACTCAGCTGCTTGCCCCACAGATAGTTCTGCCTGGCCTTGACCAAGCTCCACAGAATATGCCGCAAGGCAAGGCTCCTGGAGGGGAGGCCCCTGCCCCGGCCGTCTTCACTTGAGAGTGTAGTAGTTCGTGGGCACAAAGGGCATTTTGCTGACGATGGCCATCTGCTGCTTCCGCCGCACCTCCACCAGCAGCTGTGTCCCTGGCCGACCGTACTTGGAGGGTACATACCCCATCGCCACATTCTTTTTCAGGCAGGGTGATGGGCAGCCACTGGTCACAGTACCTGTCCAAGCACAGGCCATGTATCAACACCATCTTGATACTCCCACCCTTCCAGGGAAGGGACGGGGTCCCAGCATCCTTGGACTACCTACCAATCACGGTGCCGTCGGTGCACAGGATGGGACTGTGCGCCCGCATTGGGGCCCCCTCACACGTCAGCCCCACACGCTTCCGCTCCACCTTGCCCTTCAGCTGGGGAACGATGACCGTGGCTCCTGGGAAGTCCATGGTAGCTCGGCGGCGCTTCCCTAGGGCATGATACACCAGACCTAAGTCCCAGCCCAAGAAGCCCTGGCCACAAAGGGCCTTATCTTACAGGGACCCCAGGTGACATCCATCAGGCATCAAGTCCTCTTCATCTGGGCTTCCTGGAGCTCCTTCCCTGCACTGCAGTCAGTCATCCAACGACCTCCCACCCCCTAGAAGCCGTGCTGAGGGTCCTCAGTTTATAATGGCAAAAACACAGTGGCACTTTCAGGGAATGAAGGCTCAGAGAAGCTAAGTAACTTTTTCCAACCTACACAAACTTAAAAGCAGTCACAGGTTGCATGTCCTCGTTAAAGTTCACACCAGAGCCAGGTGTGGTGGCACACGCCTGTAATCCCAGCACCTGGGAGGCTGAGGCAGGAGGATCATTGCGAATTTGAGGCCAGCCTCGGCTACATAAGTGAGTTCAAGGCCAGCCTGAACTGCATAGTAAGACCCTATCTCAAAAAGACAAAAAAAAAAAATAAAGTTCACGCCAACCTCCAAGGTCCCATGTTAGCCCAACTCACCCAATGTCCAACTGAGGCTGCCCTCCACAGGTGTGGTATGTTCATCAATGTCGTTTCCATATAGACAGAGGCCTGCTTCCAGGCGCAGACTGTCCCGGGCCGCCAGTCCTGCCAGTTTCACCTCCGGGTTTTGCAGCAGAGCCGTTGCCACATGGACTGCCCCAGCTACTGGCACTGAAATCTATAAAGAACACCAGAGAGCGGTGGGCAGTTGCCCCCAGTCTTGTGCCCTGCTCTGCTCTACGCCCACTTCTTGATGTACCTCCACACCATCCTCTCCTGTGTAGCCACAGCGGGTTACTCGACAGCCGGATACACCGAACACTTCCATCACAGCACTGGTCATGAAGGGCAGTTTCTTCAGGTCCTCCGCCACACCCGTCTGTAGCACCTGGGCTGCAGTGGGGCCTGGGCCCAGGAAGCCAGTGACCAAGCGTCCTGGTCCCAGGACCCCTCAAAACTGGATGATAGCCCTTTCTCAGGGACCAGAACAGGTCCTGAGCAAGTCCCACTCTGCAAGTGGAAGAAGGTGCTGTGCCCCCTATCTCATGGACTCAAGAAACCTGGGCGGCGGGGG